AAATTAATTAATTGTAAAGAACCATTATTATTGTTTTGCAATCAATTTAATCAATTTTCGTATGCATTTTACGTTATGTATATAATTTTGCACTCACCCGTTAAATGTATCATCTTTTGTGGATCATCCTGTAAACTATTTGTATAGACAATAACGGCAATTAGGATGGCCAAGACAATTCCGAATTGCTTAACGTAGGCGCGTTTGTTGACAGTGAAAACGTAGTAGACGAGTGTGTAGATGAGAAAGAGCGTGGATCCAATCATGTTTACCATAACGATGCTCTGCTCGTTGGTTAGCACGCCGTAGCGCAGCCAAAAACTGCAGCTGTATAAACATGTAAAGTTGAGGGAAAATTGCTGTTCAAAATACCTTTTTATCTATCTACACATATATCTATTTCTTGCCGACGTCGACAATTCGTACTTACGATAAGAAGCCACATATAAATGGTACGCCCGACGATTCGCCCGTGCTCTTCTTTTGTATATATTTGCGGCAAATTACGCTGATAGTACAAAACACCGCAAGCATTAGTATTTACAGATTAATAAACAATTTGCATATATGTATGCATGTATGTATATACATATATTTCAATACTTACGTGCCCGAAAGAAACTGAAAAACAGTGCTAATCACCGCCGTAGTGGCTAATACTGAATCATAGGCCAGCGTCATAGTTACCAATTAATATCTAAGAATATAGCAAGTATTAAGTATTTAATTCTAATTGAAAATAAATATATATTTACTGGCCAACACACGAACACCGCTCAACGTCAACAAAAAAAAAAAAACAAAACAGCTGACACATAGAGCTGCCACGCTATCACAAAAAATTCTATTCAAATTGTTATCGATACAATCGAGCTATCGACTAAAATGCGCGCATAATCATTAAAAGCTTCGCATAGCTTTGCCGCCTCAGAAATTGTTGTTGACTGCTGCCAAAAGCTTTTTGTTTAAGCAGCGGCCAGCTGCTACATTCTACCAAAAAGTTTACAACAATGTTAGTTGCAAACAGGTGGCGAACGACGCCGCTTGTTTTTATTTTTGTTTACGTCTGCGTGCTCTTCCAATTTGATGTTCAATAAATTTTGTTAAACAAATTACGCCAGTGTGTGTCGTATATAGACACCATATGTATGTTACCTACGCATTCGATTTTTGGTTATTTGTGTTTGTTGTTATACAACACTAACCTGCAAATGCAGACGCCGGCAGCAAAGAAAGTGGCGCAACACACAAACAATTACCGTTTATTGTTAAAAGGCACACATGTGCGCCGACCGGCGGCCTTGTATACAGTGAAGTTCAATTTTTCAAAAGTTCAAAATAATATATAAAAACAAAATTAAGTGCATCTCCAATATGTCGGCCCATAATAACGTTGAGGCTGAACATTTGAACCCGCCATTTAAGGTTGAAATAACTCCACAGCAAACGGAAATTAATCAGGTGAGCAGCAGTTGTAATAGACGTTGTTGCATTGTTGTGTCTGCTCTGCGCTTTCCTTTCTCAACTTTTGTTTACAAACTGTAAATCGTTGAACTGCACAGCTTATTTTCACTGCACTACTTTAACCTTCTGCAAGCATCTCTCTTTCTCTCTCCTCCACCTACGTTTCTCCTTCTTTCTTTTTTTTTTTTTTTTTTTTTTTTTTTTTTTGAAATTGATACATCAACAATTTGTTGCGTTGCAACATTTGTTGATGCTTTGTCGGAGAGTCGTCTAATAAGTTACACCAATACGTCCGCTTCAGCAAATGCCGTTTTATATTCTCCCCATAGACTAAATATACATACATACATACATACATGTGCATATTAACAACTGAATGGACTTTCGTATTTACATAAATTACGGATTGCGCATAGCTTTACAGCTGAACCCAGGAACTACGATCGCATGCACTCAACTGCACACAGACACACACACTGACAGAGAGCTGTATATTAGAACTGTAAATATGTATACATAGTGGAGTGCGAAAGTATACGTTCATCTAAAATGAATATTTTCGTGTGATTAAATCATAAATCTCTTTCATAGATGACCAAATTCTAATAACTCATCAGTAATAAACAAAAATAAATTGCTGCTGCTGTAGCTAACATATTATTCATATAACTATGCGTAGCTAATAATTAAAACTAAACCAATTACTTTTTTGCTGTATTGTATTGCGTTTAGCTATTTAGTATTTTGCGCATTTATCTTCTCTCCCAAAAGCCAAATGACAAAGTACACAGACTTATTTAAAGCTCTCGGCGCATATTTATAAATATATACGGGCGTACATATGTATGTGTATGTATCCATATGACAGTTCCTACTAGCTGTGTATATGTACATATTTGTGTGTGTGTGTTTGTTGGTGGCATTGCGTACATATTTACATATAAAGCTCTATATACAAATTTGGGTGCCTTATCAGTTTCCCCCCTCCACAGAAATTAATATTTCGTTCAAGCTCAAAAGAAAAGTTCAGACATTGATCTAATTAAACAGAATTAGAAGTTGATACTGGCGAGAGCTTGCCAAAATAAATCATTTGCCGAATCGGGTCACTAAATTAGTGACTCGAGATGCAAATAAAAATTTCTAATAAAAAATGTAAATAAATCAATGTCGTTTTATGTGAACGCTGATAAGGGGTAATAAAAACTAGCGAATGACGCACAAATACTAGTCCATTATAATTATTATTATTTTTTTTTTTCTATGTAAAAATTTTGTAAAATTTCCTTTATATAAACGTTTTTATTACATTATGAAATATTATTTTATTTATTTTTATTAAAG